CATACATCCCTACATCACAATGTCCTGAGTTACCCACTCTCCCATACATCCCTACATCACAATGTCCTGAGTTACCCACTCTCCAATACATCCCTACATCACATTGTCCTGAGCTACCCAATCTCTCATACATCCCTACATCACAATGTCCTGAGTTACCCACTCTCTCTTCATCCCTGCATCAGATTGTCCTGAGTTATCCACTCTCTCATACATCCCTACATCACATTGTCCTGAGATACCCACTCTCTCATACATCCCTACATCACAATGTCCTGAGTCACCCACTCTCTCATACATCCCTACATCACATTGCCCTGAGTTACCCACTCTCTCATACATCCCTACATCACAATGTCCTGAGTTACCCTCTCTCCCATACATCCCTACATCACATTGTCCTGAGCTACCCAATCTCTCATACATCCCTACATCACAATGTCCTGAGTTACCCACTCTCCCATACATCCCTACATCACATTGTCCTGAGTTACCCAATCTCTCATACATCCTTACATCACAATGTCCTGAGTTACCCACTCTCTCATACATCCCTACATCACATTGTTCTGAGTTACCCACTCTCTCATACATCCCTACATCACATTGTTCTGAGTTACCCACTCTCTCATACATCCCTACATCACATTGTTCTGAGTTACCCACTCTCTCATACATCCCTACATCACAATGTCCTGAGTTATCCACTCTCTCATACATCCCTACATCACAATGTCCTGAGTTACCCCCCCTCCCATACATCCCTACATCACAATGTCCTGAGTTACCAACTCTCTCTTCATCCTTACATCACAATGTCCTGAGTTACCCACTCTCTCATACATCCCTAAATCACAATGTCCTGAGTTACCCACCCTCCCATACATCCCTACATCGCAATGTCCTGAGTTACCCACTCTCCCATACATCCCTACATCCCATTGTCCTGAGTTACCAACTTTCTCATACATCCCTACATCACATTGTCCTGAGTTACCCAATCTCTCATACATCCTTACATCACAATGTCCTGAGTTACCAACTCTCTCATACATCCCTACATCACATTGTTCTGAGTTACCCACTCTCTCATACATCCCTACATCACATTGTCCTGAGTTACCCACTCTCCCATAATCCCAACATCACAACGTTAGGACTTTTCCACCCTCCCATACATCCCTACATCACATTGTCCTGAGTTACCCAGTCTCTCATACATCCCTACATCACAATGTCCTGAGTTATCCACTCTCTCATACATCCCTACATCACATTGTCCTGAGTTACCCACCCTCTCTTCATCCCTACATCACATTGTCCTGAGTTACCCACTCTCCCATACATCCCTAAATCACAATGTCCTGAGTTACCCACTTTCCCATACATCCCTACATCACAATGTTCCGAGTTACCCACTCCCTCATACATCTCTTATATACTATATATATATCATAATATTTTAGTTATGGTCCTGAGTTACCTGCTCTCCTATTTATCCCCTTATTACATTGTCCCATTTGACCAAATCATAAAAGTCTGCAATATCCTGATTTATCCCTCACTCATGTGAACTCCTGTAGTACTGGACAGTACTGAGTTTCCCTATCAAAATCAACAAGTTTGAACATTCCACAGTTTAAACAGAGTACAAAGTTTAATTTTCAGTCAAAATTTTCAGACAAAAGCCAATCTCCTATTTCAGATATGGATTGAAAATTATGCAAGTAATGGATTTTCCTAAACAACTGCAAGAAATACCTGTGGGAGGGGGAGTGGGAAATGGGGAGGGGAGATGCAATCAGCTAATAAAAAATCACAACCAGATATCATATTGTTTGAGCTGGTAGCCACAGTAATTTGGTTCTGTCAATCAAGGTGAGACCGTCAGCGCTACAAACAGGAGTCATCTTACCAGGATTACTAACAGGAACTGACACTAGGGTTGTAGGCAGTGACGGGAGCCAGTACTGGTTGTCTAGACGATGAAGAACGTGACAGGGGGAAGAAAACCTGTCATCTTACACGTCAATAATCTACTTTTATTGAGGAGTGACTATTGACCTGAAATAATGTCCCTATAGGTACACGAGGGCAGCTTCTCTACACCAAACTCAATCTACTCCTCCACTTGGGTGTCATTACAAATTGAAATTTGAACTACAAAACTCATAAAAACAGTAAAAAATACGGAAGTTAGTTTCTTTGGTTACAGGTAGATGTACTTTTACGATTGGGTGTTCAGCTGGGGTTCACAGGCTTACTGGGATGTATTAAAAACACATTTCTTTTAATTTGATTTTTTTGCTGTGACGTAAATTGAAATGTTAAATGCCAGGAAATATCACACACTCCTTTTTATTACACAAATAAAAAGATGTGTAGCCTGCTGACACTGAAGAGGATACATTCCTGGATTAAAAGTTGTAGGCGCTTCACCAGGACACCTATACAGAAGGGGATAGTTGATACAGAGGACACCATATAGTATTTCTGTACACTATACACACAACACTTACACAAAAGACTGGAACCTTGAGTCGTTGCTGGTTGTCTCAGGGTAGGGGTAAAGGTCACACATCTCATCTAAAAGTAGGTCAAGGTCATTGGCGATGTTATTCAGCATCTAAAATTAGAAATACCATTATTATTAATCATCTTAAGTTTATTTACGTTGGTAAGAAAGCAGTTTGTATACTGTCATTGCTTGTAAACATAACGTTTACCTGTAAAATATTTTACATATCACACACATACAGTATGATTGACAGCAGGCAGAGGTTAGCTACTATCACTGCTTGTATACCTGTATACATGGACAAGCATGTCATATTTGTCTTATTTGGACTGGGTAATTTATAGCATGCAATAATTGTAGAAACATGAAAATATTAATCCAGCCTAATTATTGTATATTACACATATACTCTATATACTGTCCTTATAACACATATACTCTATATACTGTCCTTACAACACATATACTCTATATACTGTCCATATAACACATATACTCTATATACTGTCCTTATAACACATATACTCTATATACTGTCCTTACAACACATATACTCTATATACTGTCCATATAACACATATACTCTATATACTGTCCTTATAACACACATACTCTATGTAACTGTCCGTATAACACATATATTCTATATACTGTCCTTATAACACATATACTCTATACACTTGGTAGTTGTTATATCATGCTTAACGTTCAGCATTTAGGGAATGGCAACAACTGATTCACCCATTGTCAGTATAATGAGACCGGGCGGAATGCTGTGCGCGGTGCCTTCGGCATGGTATTTCAATGAGATAGCACTATAAAGTCGGCATCAGATCCGCGCTATTACACGGAGGCAAGCACACCAACATACCCTGTCTCCTGCATACAGTTACACACACCCAAGCATGCATACATTACACACATAGAGGCACGTCCTTAAATGACCTTAGCTGTTAATAGGACATTAAACAAAACTAAACCAAACCAAACTAAATCATTATCACAAAGACACTGTCACTGGAATAGCTGCGTGACTGGTGGACAGATGGAGAAAGGTCTTCACAAGGTACAATAGAGTATTAAAATTAAGATTAATGATGTAAATAGTAGATCAATAAGATAAATCACAGGTAAATGCTGACAGGTAAAATCCTCGACTGACATGTGCAGCTAAAAGGTAGATCACACTGTTTTATATTTGATGCGGGTCACCACATTTCTTGAAGTCTGTTTGAGTTCCGCCCCTAGTTATCTTACCCCTGATTAAACAGAGTGAATCTCCTCACTAAAACCCCAATTTATGTTAATTTATCACCGTAATTACAGCATAATGCATGACTTATATAAAACTAGACCAAATCCATAGAAATCAACTTGACTGGAAAAAAAACTTACAATAAAAGCTTTTAAATCGAGTGAATTCACCGATTTTATCTGCGCGTCTACCTGTGTTTTATCACAATGGGTCTGGCCTGGTGATTACAATGGTGTCCCGTAGCAGTATTGATACCAGCAGCCTTCAGATTATAGAGCCACAATACACATTAGCCACCGGTACGACAATGGGAGCACCTCTCTACAACTGTCACAAAGACTTCCTCCTCCAATTTTAGGTAATGCATAAATAATATTTCAACTCTACTAGCCAGAATACCTTTCTATGTATCATATCTTATGCCAGCGATGGCTTCATGCTGTACTGAGGTGATCAACTTCAGAAAAACATCAATCACAACAACTTCAAAGGCGTACAGCTGAAACATTGTTAGATGCTGATTTTATAAGTCCATCTAGGGTGTTTTACCTCCCTTAATTGGTTACCAATCAGTCAGAAAATGATGTACCATATACATGTTTTAGTTTGTAAAGGCAATAATCAAAGATTCTCATACATACTAGATATGTTTACACTTCTTCACAATGCAAACAACATGTATGCTTTAAGATGAGTAACACAACAACAAATCTAAACTTTCTGTGACCAAAACCAAGAATGAATGCTTTTAACAACCTTTTCACCTCATTAAGCCGTTTGGTTCCAGCTTCTGACTGAAACCAAGACATCAAACAGTCTACATGTGTTTAAGGTAAAATGTCATAACTAAAGTGAGGAAAATCCATGTAATGATTGTCATCTATAGTACAATATGTGAAGCTGAAGTTATTGATTACAGGTGAAGTTCAATGAATGATGGTATATATATGTGATGTATAGAGGGCCTTAGGAGAGATGGTGTATATATGTGTTGTATAGAGGGCCTTAGGAGAGATGGTATATATATGTGATGTATAGAGGACCTTAGGAGAGATGGTATATATATGTGATGTATAGAGGCCCTTAGGAGAGATGGTATATATATGTGATGTATAGAGGGCCTTAGGAGAGATGGTATATATATGTGATGTAAAGAAGGCCTTAGGAGAGATGGTATATATATGTGATGTATAGAGGGCCTGAGGAGAGATGGTATATATATGTGATGTATAGAGGGCCTTAGGAGAGATAAGCCCTTGCTATTGTTTGCTAATTGATTTGTACACTGAATATCAAGTATTATTAGCTGCACATCAATGTACGAGAGATAGTTCTAGTCCTCTAGTCTACCAGTTTGTAGTATCAACCTAATATTTGCCTATAGCCATATTGACTTAAGATAAAAACATTAAATACAACAGTAATTGTCATCAAAAGGTCAAAATTTGGATTTGAAAAACATATATTTACTTTTTCCCTTCAAGGTGTTGTAATTGGTTTTTAATAACCAGAAATAATTGATTGATACTTAATACAGAAAACATGTATAAGGTACAGAATCTCTGTTGAATCTCTGGACTAAATGTGTTTACCTGGATAAACTAAACGCGGAAAAAAATGTTACCTGTCCAATATGGAAGAAAAGTGCATAACCTTGCTAAAGGTAGGCAGTGTTGTGATGAGAACAATAAGTTATTGTAGGGTCTGCCTACCTATACACCTGTCTGACCAGGTAAACTTGTGAGGTATTTCCCTACACATACACTCTAAGAAAGACTTTGTTAACATCAGATAAACATGACAAACCAACTCCTACAAATGTTTGTCTAGAATTAGTGGAAACGACATTCCCGGCCGGGGTTGTTGACACAAGTAATCCACATCATTACAGGTCTGTCCAATATGGACTGGTCAGCTAAAATATCAGGGGGGGGGTTCAGTCCAATACTGACTGGTTAGCTAAAATATAACCAATGTCCAACATGAGACTTACCGAGGATCTATCCAATAGAGTTGTCAACGAATGTCCGACATAAGCCTGATTTCTACCATAGTGTCTTTTATAACAGATTGATATTGTCCAAATGTCCAACTTACCTACACTGTAACATGTGGTGATCTCCGATAACTGATAAAACTATCCACAAACAATGAAACACCACTTGTCATTATATCTTATCCATCAAAGTAAGTAAACTTTCCTCCTCCTCACCGATCACTGATGACAGTGGTAAGTGTGTCCAATGTCCGGCGATCACCGACATCCAGTCGAGTAATCCTCTGATTTACATAGTAGTGTTCTGACAGTGACGCTCCTTCGTCAACTGTTCTCCCAAAACATAAAAGATCCACTTAAATATCCGATGTCTAGTTTGTGGAGACACAGGTGGGTCCCATACAGACTGACCAATGTATTGTTTGTGTGTAGAATGGTCGGAGTGACCAACGTCGAGTTTACAGACCTAGAAGTGAAAGCCAGTGTCAACAGTGGAGTGTGACCGTACAGTATGTAGGGCACTCCCCTTATCGTAGGTTATTATCACTATATCCCACACACTGTCGGCTATACCCCAGTACACACCATACGCACTGCCAACAATCTCACAGGTAAAGGTAAACAATTATGTCATCGTCCTTTGTCACTTGTCTACAATTCATATATGTTCATCAGGTTAATTTAGAAATCATTTCTAATTCAGTCTCCTAAAAAGATTAGCCAATATTTATTCTTCTGATTATTATTACATAACAATGATGTCACATACATCAATTCATGTACCACGTCAGTTCAGGAAAACATACAGTACAATGCCTCGTACAATGCGTGTCAGTATATCCAATGTGGATCTCAATTAGGTTGGTAGTATTTTCTATAACTGTCATGAATGCTCTGACAACATAATTTAAATTAACTCTACATTGAACTAAATAGCATGCAGTGTAAACTGTGAAGAAATGAAACGGGGTTGGTGATTGGGAACAAAATTAGGGCTTAAACAAATATATGACATGTAGGCAAGCTCCTTGGCAAGCGCAGCAATTTTGTAACAGGAAGAAACAGAAATGCAACAGCCATATCAGGGTTTGAACCGGACCCTCTGAACTCTAGATGGATGCTCTACCAATTAAGCTACCTGGTCGCCGACAATCGACCCAGTCCAGTTTAGTTAAATTAGGTATCACCTCACAATCTAAATGATAGCTCTTCATATGGTTACATATTTTTCCAGTTATAAACTGCCTGTGTTTCTAATTAAAGCATAAAAAGCACCTTTTATCAAGTGGAATATATCACAATAAAATGAATGTACAGCATATCAATACATACTATATATAATTTAGTATCACAATTTGTCCAATTGTATTCTCAGCACTAAACTTTGTTTATCAAAATATATAATGTGATTAACAAACTAAGTTCTTAGTTATGGTCTGGTATCCATTTTTAATACTAATTCACAGTGACCTGAATAGGTTACTGCCTTGGTAATGAGAGTTTTACGAGTATGATGATGGTATAATTTCCAAGGTTTCAATGTCACAGACCTGTATATTTCCAAACACACATAGGTAACTTTGCCTAAGTTTGTCTTTGGTGACTGCATGCAACTAAATTCAGACTTTGCAATTAACATGTTTGACCATGAAAAGTCCAGAGGTTGTCTGAATGAGGCCACCATCTTTGTTAGTGACCAATACAAATCTAGGGGTTGTTTGAATGAAATCATTCCTGTGAGAATGTGTCGGGTATTTGTGAAGTCACCTGTAAACTTCTGTGACAGGTAGATAGTGACAAAGTATAGACAATACAAGATAACACTATTTCTTTGGTATGTAAAACATCAATACCGTACAAACCCGTTTCTAATAAAGCATGATTCAGGATTTCACTCTGAACGTTTGTAATCATGAATGATTAGCATATGTCTAGCTTTTGTGAGCTTGTTACATTTATTTTTTAGAATAAATACCTGTCGAAGGAATACATGCATACTCATTCAGCATATAAATTTTGCACAATCATATAGACCATGATCTCAAAGGAAACTGCAGAATCATGCTGTATCAATACCCGAGGAAGCAGTGCACGGCTCCTTTATGTTGCATGACAACAAAGGTTCAGAACAGCTCTTCATATCCAAAACAGCTTTTATTGCTCTTATATAATACTGATACAAAACTGTCACTCTAAATCAACAATTACCCATGTAAACAGAAAAAGTATTCAACATAAAATGATAGCCAATTAAAACCTCTATTGTTCCCAGGTTTGTAAAACATATATATATATAACATGTATCAACAAAATCTAAAGCAAGCAGACAATTTGGCAAGAAAAAATGGTAGGCTCTTGTAATAAAACTGATGACATTTTATATCATTCCATATACCTATGAACAAAGATCTATATGAAATAGTATTTTAATGGGTAATTACAGCATCATTGGAGTGAAGGTGATGGGGCCCTGGGCCCTGTGTTCTAGTAAGTCAGAGCCACAATGACAAGGTATACAGATAGGGATATTCCAACACCCTTATACATACATAGCTGTGTCAAGAAATCACTCCATTCATAAAGATCAATACCAATTCCCATTCATAAAATCTGGGAGGCTTTAATTGCTTCTGATATCGTTCCAGGTCTAGTACATCCCCAGCCACTTAACTTTATAGCTGTGATGTTGTGATACACCTGAGGATGTCCGACCTCTTACACCCTATAACTCACAGGTGATGGAATGTCAACCATTATCAAATAAAATTAAATAATTATCAGATTTCCTTTGAAATACTTCCATAAAAATCCTTTGAATATTGGCCAATTTCCTAAAATTTGGCTTGACATTCATGGAGGTTTATGGAGTGTAAAACAACATAATCCATGGTTAGGTCGTCCAATCCTTCCATTAGACACTTAGTGTCAGATTCTGAATCGGTGACAAATGTGTGGCAGGGTACACATCTTAAAGAAGGGCAGATTAAGGAATCGGTTGTTATGGGCCTAGTGACACACAACAACATTTGATATAGCTCGCTATCTAGCTAAAATGAGTAACTCTAAAACACTTAGAGTACAAAGTTGGACAATTCATACAATCATTATGATATATCAATCAATACAATTTATGAGAAATTAACAGGAACTGGATTATTAGGCACTTAAAATATAACCCCTATGCCAACTGCCTAATATCTCCATATGTGTGTTATCATGCTGCAGTTTTGATTTGTGGTGGGACCAACAGCATCTTAATCCACAGTGTGACCTCAATTGAATGCTATAACATAGACACTGCAATACCCACCCCATACCATTTTATAATCTACTAATGGTAGTCTCTCCATCATCTATACTTATCTAATAGTCTCTACTGGGGTTACCTGTACTTAACTGTTTACTTATCTATAGCTTAGAACCAAGGTCGTAGATATAGCCCACACCCAAGGTCAAGGTCATATGTATAGCTTAGAGCCATGGTCAAGGTTATATATATATATATAGCTTACACCCAAGGTCAAGGCCATATATATGTAGCCTACAGCCATGTCAAGGTGATATCTTTAGCTTACAACCAAGGTAAATTGGTTATCTGTACCTTTATATCTTTCTAATGCTTTGGAAAGAAAGTTTGGTATTTTTAGATATCAAGCACATGCACTTTTACCTTTGCATTACAATAATGGATTCCAATTTTGGATATAAGAAGAGCTGTTCTGATAATTTCTGAATAAAGAAAGGTAAACAACGAAACAATAAGAGATAAGACAAATACAGTCTTACCAGGACAAACTCCAACCGTCGAAAGTAATGCTTGTAAAGACAAAGGGTTGGAACATTAGTGTTAGGACATATAGTTACACAGGAAACACAACATAGGTACATACCAGGTCCAAACAGCACAACATAGGTACATACCAGGTCCAAACAGCAAGTCATTCAATACAGTAAATGATATCAATATTGTTAACTACGACACAACATAGGTACATACCCATACAGTTTAAAACAGAGAAGTAACTCAGTCAAAACTATATACATTAACTACAGAACATTCAAAACATTAACTACAGAACATTCAAAACATTCAATGTTCCATACATTAACTACAGAACATAAAACATTCAATGTTCCATACATTAACTACAGAACATAAAACATTCAATGTTCCATACATTAACTACAGAACATAAAACATTCAATGTTCCATACATTAACTACAGAACATAAAACATTCAATGTTCCATACATTAACTACAGAAAATTTCACTAACTTTGGAACATTTCACATTTTCAACAACAAAATCATGGCAATAACTTTGATGTTAATCTGTACATGTTGTCATTTGATTTGTCCACAAGATTCCACACACTCCAACCCCTGTGAGCGTTGTTACATCAGATGTCTGTCTTCCTGTTTATTGTGTTCTATACATGGATCTGGCTATGAGGTGTCTAATGTAGGTAACTCACACATACCTGTATCCAGATCTAGGTCACAGCAATTTGGTGTGAAAGTTTAAGAAAAACATTTCCCACATTTATATAAAATATTCATTCAATAAATATGTATACACCAGAGAGCAAAATAAGCGGTACATACCTACTTCTCCAGATGTGTAGCGTATAGCTTACTCATCACTCACAGGTTTTATTGACCTACTGAGAATTGATTCATTTTCCATTTAAAAATATATGGGTTTTTTGTGTCTTGCATTACAGAATTAATCGTATTTATCTACACCAATCCTGAGACCTGATAGCCATCAGTTATAACTTGATGTCTAAGCTTTTATTTGTACTGTTCCATCTGGGAGAATAAAACACCTACAAATCTATCAAAGACAAAAACAATTTTACTGAAAATGGCCAGTTTATGATACGAACATGAAACCCATTTCAGTTTGGTATTGTTAGGTTTTTCATACAAGAACTGTTAATGTATTTAACATAGATAAATTTCTCTTTAAAATATCTTTAATTACAAAATTAAAAAGGCTTTTTTTCATGATATTTATTTCTGTCAGGACATGTTCTGATAGGGACTGAGAGTGGAAGGTGCCAGGTGTACAATTTCCACCTATCTGGCAGGATGTTTTCTACTTCTAACACACACCCAGGTGGATCTCATTTATAACACTAATGTATTTTACAATGCACTGGATAGATCTCAAAATCAACCATCAGTTGAGATATTGATAGACTTGCTGATGTCATTCAAAAGCACATAAAGGAAGAACAGATAAAACTGTTCTACTTATTTACACGCAGTCACGCTGCAAATTTATATGTTCAGCTGTACCTAATACAAATACATTACAATGACTTACTCCAGACAGGCTGCTCGGTAATTAAGTTTTCTAATTCTTCTCTGCCGAGAAGTTAAACACATAATCATTACCTGTCTACCACATTGTTAGATACATTGTCATCCTTACCTGTCTACCACATTGTTACACACATTGTCATCCTTACCTGTTTACCACATTGATACATACATTGTCATCCTTATCTGTCTACCACATTGTTACATACATTGTCATCCTTATCTGTCTACCACATTGTTATATACATTGTCATCCTTACCTGTCTACCACATTGTTACACACATTGTCATCCTTTCCTGTCTACCACATCATCATCATCCTTACCTGTCTACCACATTGTTACATACCTTGTCATCCTTACCTGTCTACCACATTGTTACACACATTGTCATCCTTATCTGTCTACCACATTGTTACATACATTGTCATCCTTTCCTGTCTACCACATTGTCATCCTTCCCTGTCTACCACATTGTTACACACATTGTCATCCTTATCTGTCTACCACATTGTTATATACATTGTCATCCTTACCTGTCTACCACATTGTTACATACATTGTCATCCTTACCTGTTTACCACATTGTTACATACATTGTCATCCTTATCTGTCTACCACATTGTTATATACATTGTCATCCTTACCTGTCTACCACATTGTTACACACCACATTGTCATCCTTACCTGTCTACCACATTGTAACACACTGTCATCCTTACATGTCTACCACACTGTTACACACATTGTCATCCTTACCTGTCCACCACATTGTCATCCTTACCTGTCTACCACATTGTCATCCTTACCTGTATACCACATTGTTACATACATTGTCATCCTTACCTGTATACCACATTGTTACATACATTGTCATCCTTACCTGTATACCACATTGTTACATACATTGTCATCCTTACCTGTATACCACATTGTTACATACATTGTCATCCTTACCTGTATACCACATTGTTACATACATTGTCATCCTTACCTGTATACCACATTGTTACATACATTGTCATCCTTACCTGTTTACCACATTGTTACATACATTGTCATCCTTATCTGTCTACCACATTGTTACATACATTGTCATCCTTTCCTGTCTACCACATTGTCATCCTTCCCTGTCTACCACATTGTCATCCTTCCCTGTCTACCACATTGTTACACACATTGTCATCCTTATCTGTCTACCACATTGTTATATACATTGTCATCCTTACCTGTCTACCACATTGTCATCCTTACCTGTCTACCACATTGTTAAACACATTGTCATCCTTACCTGTCTACCACATTGTCATCCTTACCTGTCTACCACATTGTCATCCTTACCTGTATACCACATTGTTACATACATTGTCATCCTTACCTGTTTACCACATTGTTACATACATTGTCATCCTTATCTGTCTACCACATTGTTATATACATTGTCATCCTTACCTGTCTACCACATTGTTATATACATTATCATCCTTACCTGTCTACCACACTGTTACACACATTGTCATCCTTACCTGTCTACCACGTTGTTACACACACTGTCATCCTTATCTGTCTACCACATTGTTACACACATTGTCATCCTTACCTGTCTACCACATTATCCTCCTTACCTGTCTACCCTGTAATATTCACCAGGATTTGACGATTCCAATTGGCTTTAACGAAAACTTGTGCTACTCGAGCCAGGTTTACTGACACTGTCCTAATCAACCAAATGGTTTTGTTCCTCTTGATAATAAGGACAATTCAGATCTTGCTCCACATTTCAAAAACATTCATTCATTTATTATGAAATTGCCTGGTTTTACCTGTACTAATGAGACGTACCTGTAATTTGAAGATACATCTGTGTAATTTTTCCTACACCTATAGATATTTACCTGTATCAATGAGATTTCCCTGTAATTTGGAGGTACATCTGTGTAATTATTCCTACACCTGTAGATATTTACCTGTATCAATGAGATGTACCTGTAATTTGGAAGTACACTTGTGTAATTGTACCTATACCTGTAAAAATATACCTGTACTGATGTATATACCTGTAATTTGATAGTAATCCTGTGTAATTAGTCCTACACCTGTAGAGATACACCTGTACTTATAAGACAAACCTGTAATTTGATAGTAATCCTGTGTAATTAGTCCTACACCTGTAGAGATACACCAGTATTAATGAGACAAACCTGTAATTTTGAAATACACCTGTGTAATTAGTCCTACACCTGTAGAGATACACCAGTATTAATGAGACAAACCTGTAATTTTGAAGTACACCTGTGTAATTAGTCCTACACCTGTAGAGATACACCTGTACTAATAAGATCCTTACCTTCTGGTAGCTGGAGGAAGGTTGATACTCCTCTGCATCACCAAGATCGCTGGGGTCATCACAACCGTCCTCCATCATGTTAACTCTCATATCCTCCTCCAAAGACACCTTTTTATGGCCAACAAGGATTGGCTGCTAAACACATCAACTGTTCATGAACAACTCACACAGCATCCCACCTTTCTATTAGCCTATTTTCACTCTGTTCCTATTTACTAGAGGTCAAACTCAACGTCAATATCTTCACAGATGCCTTCACTTCCAAGGAAACAATAATTTCATCAAATCACATCTGCTAGAGAAACCAAAACATCTTCTGACGCAAAACCAATGTAGGGGTGTGATAACTAACGACCTGGCGATAATTCTCATAAACACATTGTAGAGGTCACTGTGTGATCAACTCTCTGGGGGACAATGTCCAAGTTACGGTTTCCAATTATTCCAAAGATTTTAGCACTGGAGTTCTGTTGACCACAACAGAGACTTCAGCATACCTCCCCACATACACACTCTCTCGTGTACTCAGTCGGGTTTAAAATCCTCCGAATCAGAGAAGGTTGTAGACATGTTGCAAAATCGTCAAGTCTGTTTCATGTTCATGCCAAGCCTTGATGATGCCCTGAAAAAAGGGAAATGAGAAAAAAACATGAGGTTGGCACACTACATACACTTGTTCATTAAACAAGCTTGTAATGGTGTTTAAGTATGCAACGTAAATGTGAAAATCTCTACAACATGTACAGAGACTTGTCCACACCTTACATGTAAAACCTCTCATTAATCATTTCTCTATAAAAAATATCACATTCCTAAACACATTTCATCATTTTCTCCAAAACTCTCACTATTTAAAAATATATACTGAAAAACTTATCTACAAAAAAAATCTCTTTAATTCATAGTATTTCATCATTTCTCACAAAAAATCCTGAAATCCAGTTTTATCAGTGACGTAAGCAAGGCCAGGAAATTTAGTGTGACAATTGATGGAGCCTAGGGAGGACCAGTGTACTGGTGGGAATGTGTCATACTGCACTGTACCACTCCTTTATACTCATACAAAATGAGCGCACCAAACCAATATCCAACTATTACCTTCCATTGGGGTCTTTTGTTCAGTTTTAATAATGAGCTGTCCTAACGAGGATATCAGATTCAAAAATTAATCAATTTCAGCTCCCATAGATCACACCGGAAACTATAACAATATGTACACATGAAACATCATCAGATTATGTAACAGGGAATGATCGTTAACAGGTAGTATGTCACACACCAGATGTCGGGTAAGTGTGTAATGTGAGATGGGGTGTAGCTACCCTACCTACATCCGGATATAACATAGGGTGTGGTGGATACAGAAAAAATATCATCTTTTTTTAGGGAGGGAGGTGACATACTACCTGTTAACGATCATTCCCTGTTACATAATCTGATGATGTTTCATGTGTACATATTGTAGGGAGGGGGAGTCTTACTAATGAGAAAATTAGAAAAAATTTCATGCATTTTAATTAGTTTTCAAGGCTTCCATTACATAATTAGCACATGTTGTTTTCTCCTAAAGGGACAAGGCTCAGCTGGGTAACCAGAGACTTGTAAGGTGTAACAGCATGTCACTATCCCATAGGACCGGCTATTGATTTCTATGTTAATATAGGTAAACCATCCCTAAAACACATATAGACACACTGTAAACCATCCTGTCATCTGCTCAGGGGGGTCACTCAGTGCAAACCCCATCCCCGCTTGTCACACTGCAGGAATCCAAACAGAAGTTTTTTGATGGGTGATGAAGTAATTTGAGCATGAAATATGTATACACCAGAACATCAAACAGGAAAGTTCAAGGCAAAACTGAATTCTAAAACATTTCAATGAATTCACAGACATGTCCTGTTGTGTTCAGGTGAAACTCTATATTCCATGTAACGAATATCTCACTTTGGTTTCCTATGAAAGTATCCCTTGATTGATACAGAAGTGTTTACCAGTTCACCTACTGAGATAGTGCACACCACTGTTGTCCTACTACCATGCTCCTTACAGGCTATATGATCTGATTGACTTCATCATTATCATCAGTGGTCATTACCTCATTACAGTGGTCATTAACACAGGTCAAGTTACAAAGTGGACAATACCTCTATACAGAGGTCATTAACTCTGAGGTCAAGTTATAAACTGGGCACTACCTCTATACAGAGATCATTAACACTGAGGTCAAGTTACAGAGTGGACAATACCTCTATACAGAGGTCAGTAAACAATGAGGTTTAGTTATAGACTGGACACTAGCTCTATAAAGAGATCATTAACACTAAGGTCAAGTTACAGAGTAGACAATACCTGTGTACAGGTCATTAACTCTGAGGTCAAGTTACAGACTGGACACTACCTCTGTACAGAGGTCAGCTAACACAAAGGTCAAAGTTACAAGGTGACAATACCGAAGGTACCCCAATAGAGAGGTCAGTTAACACTGCAATGGTTCATGTTGTACTACTCAGGGACTCATTCCACTTATTCTAACACAATTTTGGAGTTGCTGTTATCCTCCTTAAACAAAACAGAGTAAAAGTAAAACCTGGATTCCTTGATTTAGAGTTGAAGACTTGACAGGATCAGCATATGTATCTTCCTGAAGAAAGCTCCCATAAATCTGTACCTTCTAATCACCAGAGCCTTGTTCTCCTCTCTACTGTACAGTGTATCTACTTTACCATTAACTGTACCCTGTTTTTTAGTTGGTGTCCTATAATGCCCATGTCTGTACACTAATCCTACAGAATTGTCTTTAGTGGCTCCTGTCAGTTCAATCTGTACACTAATCCTACAGAATTATCTTCAGTGGCTTCTGTCAGTTCAATCTGTACACTAATACCTTGGACACAGAAAGCTGTTGTAATTAATATGATTCTAATCCCATCTCCTCACAGACACATGTCATTTCTTATAACAGATTACTCTATAATTTCCCCATATTGGGCCAATATAACATTCTGGCAGGTTTTATAACACTACGAGTGTTTTTTTATCAAGACACATGTCTTTTACTAATTCAGTTTGCATGACTTTGCATGACTTTGACTTTGCATGACTCAAGTATCGCATTCTCGTAACAGCAAAAACAGATTCTGTTAACGTCCCAGTTTTGCATGTCGTAATGTCCTACCCATTCAGCAGTTATGAACAAGTGGATATATAAGTATTGAGTTGTTTGGGATTTGAATTCCATATATTCTTCATGGCCCATCAAAGAATGACAGAAAGTAGGTGTGTGTCATATAAAGAATGGTAAAAATGGACTGAGGGTAGGTGTGTATTAAGACAGACACTAGAAAATAAAGAAATGAAATGGTTAAGTCAATAAGGTCCCATTTTCTTAAGAAATTCTTTCATATCAAGTGAAATGTTGCGCTTGACTGCACAAAGAACAATTCAATAATCTAATTTCAAAAATAGATCCCATAATGAAGTTATCCCATTCCATAGCTGCCTATCAATACCACTATAATATCTCAAAACAAGTTTTGTAATGAAGGTTTTTTTAATATTTCATCAAATATCAAAAACAGACTGACTATAGCTTTATTGTATTTTAGGTAATTTTTATTTCACTGTAATAACTTAAAAACATAAAACCAAATTCCACAGGTGATTATTGTAAGATCATTTTCACCTACATTATTTTTTATAATTTTATTAGAGATTCACTGCCATTTTTTTCGTATGTGGTTTTCCCTTGACGCTAGAAGAAGTATGACATAGTTCTGGAGTCACCTCAGGGTTCCTGGCCCGTTTCCTGTGTACCAGGGATGACATAGTTCTGGAGTCACCTCAGGGTTCCTGGCCCGTTTCCTGTGTACCAGGGATGACATAGTTCTGGAGTCACCTCAGGGTTCCTGGCCCGTTTCCTGTGTACCAGGGATGACATAGTTCTGGAGTCACCTCAGGGTTCCTGGCCCGTTTCCTGTGTACCAGGGATGACATAGTTCTGGAGTCACCTCAGGGTTCCTGGCCCGTTTCCTGTGTACCAGGGATGACATAGTTCTGGAGTCACCTCAGGGTTCCTGGCCCGTTTCCTGTGTACCAGGGATGACATAGTTCTGGAGTCACCTCAGGGTTCCTGGCCCGTTTCCTGTGTACCAGGGATGACATAGTTCTGGAGTCACCTCAGGGTTCCTGGCCCGTTTCCTGTGTACCAGGGATGACATAGTTCTGGAGTCACCTCAGGGTTCCTGGCCCGTTTCCTGTGTACCAGGGATGACATAGTTCTGGAGTCACCTCAGGGTTCCTGGCCCGTTTCCTGTGTACCAGGGATGACATAGTTCTGGAGTCACCTCAGGGTTCCTGGCCCGTTTCCTGTGTACCAGGGATGACATAGTTCTGGAGTCACCTCAGGGTTCCTGGCCCGTTTCCTGTGTACCAGGGATGACATAGTTCTGGAGTCACCTCAGGGTTCCTGGCCCGTTTCCTGTGTACCAGGGTGTTGGTACAGGAGCTCAGGATTACCAGGCATAAAGCACTGGAGAAGAATGGTTGTTTGGTCAGCGACACATTTCCGCGTACAGACTTGTGGTTTGTCTGTCTATGTTTGTCAGGCCATCCCTAACAAAACCACAGTTAAAAAAGTGTTCCTAAAGGGCTGTGGCTTCAGGCCTGTTGGTTCAGCTAGATCAAGTTCTAAAGTACCAATCCTATTTATCAGATATTTCTGAACAAGGCCATATCCTGCAATAAGTATAATTACCTTCATGCTCAACCAAATCTCTTATCAGCTCCCATACAAACTCCTACCAGCATTATTCCACTACTGAGTTTTTTGCGGTCTCTTATCGAATACCAGCGAGTAACGCTCTATTGTCAGTCCTCCATTACACATTTATATTTAAATCTTGACTTATTTTGTGGTTACATAATCCAACTCTTGTGGGTGATATGTCACATTGTCAATTAATACACCTCCACTCAACACGGAATCACAATCAAACATAACACAAAACAGGTATGATAACGATTAAAAAATGTCTTTTATTATAGATCATGCAATTCTCAAATGAATTATGGATTAATCCTCAACCCCTGGAAATATATCCAGTGTTAACAACAAGTTTATCAGTGATGTTTTACATCTGTCTCTGTATAGCTGATGTCCCTCAGATTTACCTGTATTATCCTCGTGAAATATTTACCTTTGTAAGTAAAGGTGAAAAGAACAAAAATCAAAGTGAAGCAATAAATGCTGATGAATGGTGTTTATAACTCGACAAAGACACCGACAAAGATAGGTAGTAAGAAATTACAGGCCAACATTCCCCAGCCCTGCTCACCAGCCAAGTAACCCTACTTGATGTTGTCTATGTCGGAAGTTAGGAGAAAAACATGACACTTGTCCTGATTATAAATACCACCAGGTTGTAGTGTTTTAATGATGATTCCCTTACCTGTTATAACCCTTACCGTGTCCATGTGGGGGGAAGGTCGTCATTATTATCTACTGCCAGGTAAGGTCGTCAGCTGGACTGGTCACTAAACGTGGCCGGGTAAGCCACAGGTATGTCAGGGTGCAATTCCTCCGGTGTGCAATAATGTTTACCTGTTTACAGGTTGTGTGTCAAGGTATGCTTTCTCCAGTGTTACTGACCACAAGTCTGTAAGTGTCTTACTTAATGTGGTCAGTTTTACTGCATTGTAGTGTGGTCAATCTGACCAGCTATATATACATGATGCAGTATCTTGTCAGCTGTTGTACTTCAGGTGTGTATAGTGTCCTCAGCTTACTCAGGTATACTGCCAATGTTTATATTTTTTGTGGCTGGCAGTGTGTGTAAGTGCCCTGCACACATGAGAGCCACTAGTCCACCTCAATACATCAGAGCTGTAGAGATTGGCAGGTCGAGACAGGGCCACTGATGGGGCCAGATGAGTATTATCACCCTGCTTGGCTGAGTCACCTCAATCTGTCTGCACCCAGGTCAGTGCTGGACAGCTGGATGTGTAGGGCCAGTGTGTACAGTAGTACCTCATATCAACATACTGTCTTACCAGGAGACACAGGTCCTATACGGGTCCCATATAAACCAGTGCCAAGTTGTAACTAAATACATTTTTATACATTTATACTAGATGTACTGGTATAATCTGTTATGGTACATAATATTTCACTAAAATCCTGGGTTTACATCACATTTACCAGAACTACAGAGACTAGGACCTATTAAGACCTCAGTCAAGCTTTATAGCACATTGCTGTAACAGTATACAGTTGTTTCATGCCTTATCAGTCAACAGTCAAAACTATTTTCCCGAGGAGTTGGGACCCTCCAGATGAACTGTTTCCCGAGG